TGGCGTTAAACAACACATCAACTAACCAACATGTATGGTGTACTCGCCTTGTCGCACTAAACAATATTGCAGTTATATGATGGCGTCTGGAGATGATCGTGTTTGGACCAGGTATACCGACCACCATAATATGGCAAGAATATTGAGAGCAGCGTTAAACAAACTAGGCACACTGGCGATTGATATACTGACCCACGCGACCCGTGAAGATTCCGGAGTAGAATAGGTCTTCAGCAACCCATGCTTGCAGTAAAAGGCGACTATGTTTGTCGTAAAAGATGTTTGTCGTAAAAGGCGACTAACGGGACTTGGTTGATTCATGCCATCGATCCCAATTGCGTGGATCGATGCTCTTGTTGTCAATCACTGGACTGTCTGGTCCAAACTCGATTATTTACAGACCACAGTCATATATCTGGTATGTTGGTGAGTGCGGCGTTAAACAACAAACAAACAAGGGACCAGACTCGATTATTTACGGACCGCCGTCATATTGCCGGACTGGACCAATTGCGTGGACCAATGCTCATGTCAATCATTGTCTGGTCAGGACTCGATTATATACAGACCATCTTCATACAGCTGGAATATTGCTGAGTGCGGCGTTAAATAACAAACAAACAAAGAAAGGATATCTCCTCTTACCGCAAGGACAACTCATTTACCTTGACGTGGTCAAGAAGTAAATTGTGCCTTTGAATTTGGCAACATCAACGCATGGATCTTTGAAGTTTTTCACTGAGTAAGGTTCGATTCCCGTCCTTTCCAAGGTCTTCAGTTTCGACGAGGGGTCGCACAGATATGCATGTTGGCCTAAAATGATGAATGAATGCATGTACTTACCGAACTTAAATTGACACAACATGGAGTCCCCATGGGGATTCCCGGGCCCCATTTGTCCTCTGCATCCTATACTTGTCGTAAACATTCCCTAATCCCCCTTTCGGCGTGGATCGTTGGTCATTATATCAATCATTTGTCTGTCTGGTTAAGACTTACTTTACAGACCGCCATCATCGATTTAGAATTTTTGCTGAGTGTGCGGTTAAACAACAAGCAAATATCCATAATATATTTCCCGAAACGGTAACGGTCCTTTGCACCAAACGGTGCAATATGATTATACTTTTCTTTAAGCGAAGAGATCACAAACGAATAACATATATTGCCTTTCTCAGTCATTATACTCCTCTTTATGGGAAGAGGTGAGGCGAAATTGGGTTTAACGTCGCGTCCAAGATTATTGCACTTATAAAGCGACGTGCATGTACTGTGTGTATGTTGCTTGGATGATGCCGATTTATAGTACTAGTTACTGAGATACCAAGCCACAGTTTAACAGTACCCTACTCAGACACAGTATCCGAGCCGACCAGTCCTTGTTTCAGCCGCTTAATGCCGAGCGCAAGACACGGTAACAACAAGTACCATCTTTTAACGCCTTTTGGTATGACGCGACCGGGAACCGAACCCCGGACCTTCCGCTCTCCGGGCGGACGCTCTATCACTAGACCACGGAGGCGGTCCCTTTAAGCGAAGAGATCACAAACGACAAAAATGTGTATCCTTTCTCAGTCAAGCAGCCACACGCACACATACATCCCCACACGCGCATGCACGTCGCTATATAAGTGCCTAGTGGTTAAAACGTTCGCACGTGCACGTGCATTATTTAATACCTGGGTCTTACATCAATGTTCCATGTGCAAATACCATGGATGACGTACAACAGACGTCAATGTTGATGTCAAGCAAAATGCCGTTACATCCTACACTTGCATGTGTGTGTGTGTGTGTGTGCTAGTCCGGAATATCCTTGTCGTAAGAGGCGATAAACGGGATCGGGTGGTCAGACTCGCTGACTTGGTTGATGCATGTCATCGATCCCAATTGCGTGGATTGATCTCATGATATTTATCACTGGGTTTTCTGGTCAAGACTAATTTTTTTACAGACCGTCGTCATGTAGCAGGAATATTGCTGACTGCGGCAACAAACCAACCAACCAGCCAACGATGATCATGATGTCAATCACTGGATTGACTGGTCTAGACTTCATTATTTACAGGCTGGAATGTTGCTGCGTGCGGCGTTATACAACAAATAAACAATTTTAACTCAGTTACTCAGTCTGGTTAACTGCTTAACTGTTAATTGAACCTGTGACCCAGAACATGTCAAATCATTGGCACTTGGCAACTGTCGTACAGCAATGTAATTGAGATGGGGATAAAACCACGTTGCTACTATCAATGGACACGTCATTGATATTAAGTACGCGTTGCTGTGTTGTTTCCCCCAAATAAACATGTTTTGTACACGAAGGGCAATGTTCGTCTCAAATGTTTTTGTCTCAAACGGGACATTCTGTTAACATCTATGCTGTGAGAGTAAGGTATAAAATCAGACAGTATGCAGCTACAGTGTGGTATTGCTATGTTGATAACATATGTTACTGTTGCAAAAGTGGATAGTTCCATTCGTTTTTCTGGCTTTCGAAGGTTACATGATGTTACTGACGGATTAACTCCAGCGCACAAGTCGTACACGTGTCAAACTGACCTTGCTTGTCTTGTTGACATATTGACTCGGGTAAATCCAATGTATCTCAACAACTTGACCATCATACAGTGTCAGTGCCCTCGAATTGGACGCGATATTCTATATCCCGAAAGGAACGAGAGTTCTTGGATGCTCTTTGTATTCGGAAGTGGGCGATGGCAGGTAGTGTATTACTAACATTTACGGACCCGTGAAGATCCGGGGTAGAATAGGTCTTCAGTAACCCATACTTGCTGTAAAAGGCGACTATGGGGATCGGGTGGCCAGACTCGCTGACTTGGTTTACGCACGTCATCGTATCCAAATTGCGTGGATCGATGCTCATGATGTCAAACAATGGATTGTCTGGCGCAGACTCGATTATTTACAGAATGCCGTCATATAGCTGGTATATTGCTGAGTGCGGTGTTAAACAACAAACCAAGCCAAAACTTACATTAACGCCTCCTCCAGTGAATAGCAAAGTACATTTAGCATCTATCATTTTTTAGGTTTCAATGGGATTGCATGATCCATTTTGTGGATAACAGGTGATAATTAAGAAACAGAAACAAAAGTGGCTATTATAAAAACTCGATGTATTTACTTTCATAAAAACAGACGAGACACTCCGTTTGCAGCAGTCACAAACACATGCAAAGGCAAGTCAATGTTTCACCTGACAACACACGGGAACATATGGTACAAGTCTAAATAGGGAAATGCACCGGGTATAATTTTTGTCTGTGATGCGTTAGATTTTGAAATGTCCTGCACATGTCTACCATAAAACTTTTTGAAAGTTTTACCTTGAATGTTGTAAATTTGATCAAAGAACATTTGGACCCGTAAAGATCCGGGGTAGAATAGGTCTTCAGCAACCCATGCTTGCCGTAAAAGGCGACTATGCTTGTCGTAAAAAGCGACTAACGGGATCGGGTGGTCAGTGTTCCGGTGTTCCGATTGTTTTTGGTGTCTTGCATGAATTCCCAAAGTATTCTAAAATGTACCTTCTATATATATTTAGTCTTTTGTTAAATATTGCTGGAAATGATCATTTCATGTCTTTCAGGAAACGGAGAGCAATGGCACCAATACAATAAGTGTACTTCAATCACAAACTGGTACCAGTGTATACGCCAGCCATGATATAACAAGCGTGCCACCAGCGCCTACAGGTACCACCAGCGCTGCAGCCCGTGAGGATCCAGGTTAGAATCAGTCTTCAGCAGCCAATACTTGTCGTAAGAGTCGACTGACGGGATGGGGTGATCTGGCTCGCTGATCATCTTGATGTATGTCATCGTATCCAAATTGCGTAGGTCGATGCTCATGATATGAATCACTGGATGGTGTGGCCCATACTCGATTATTTACAGACCGCCGTCATATAGCTGGAATATTGCTGAGTGCGATTTTAGACAACAAACAAACAAAAAAAGTCTTAATTAACAAGCGTTCTACTATCACCTACAGGTGCCTGTAACGTTGCAAGCCAAAGTTGCAAGCCAAGGGACCCGTGAAGAACTGGGGTAGAATAGGTCTCCAGCAACCAATGCTTGCCAAAACAGGCGACTAACGGGATCGGGTGGTCGGGTTCGCTGATTGGTTGATGCATGTCATCGTATCCGAATTGCGTGAATCAATGCTCATGACATCAATCACTGGTTTGTCTGGTCCAGACTCGATTATCTACAGACCACTGTCATATAGCTGGAATATCGCTGAGTGCGGCGTTGAACAACAAAGAAACAAACTAAGTAAATAAATTATTATTTTCACTGATATCTTCACCTTCAAGCATGTCTTCTTCTATTAGTCCTAGATGTCCCTAGAAGAGATGATGTCCTTCTCATCAAAGACATGGACATGAAGAAGGTCTACATCTACACTCTACCGTATTACAAGTACGTCGGTTATCAGGAGCCAATGGGCAAAGGGAAAGTTTTGGGCATCGAATATTGCACGGGTGATCTTCAACTAAAATGGTTATTACAATTTGGCAAAGTGTGTCATTTCAAGGACACGCGATGGCACTGTGAAAGGATTTCTATAAAAGGTATGCATATCTGTAATTAGTTGGGACCCGTGAAGATCCGGGGTAGAATAGGTCTTCAGCAACCCATGCTTGCCATAAAAGGCGACTGTGCTTGTCGAAAGAGGCGAGTAACGGGATCGGGTGGTCAGGCTCGTTGACTTGGTTGATGCATGTCATCGATCCCAATTGCGTGGATCGATGCTCATGGTATTAAGCACTAGATTGTCTGGTCCAGATTCGATTATTTAGACCGCCGTAATATAGCTTGAATATTGGTGAGTGCGGCGTTAAACAACCAACCAACCAAATGGATTACGCTTAAGCTTGATAACTAGGTACATTATATAATTATCCGAAGAACATGACTACAATGTCACTATTTTTCTTGTGGGAAATTTTCAGGCTACCTCAAATTCCTCAAGTGTTATGAGGATGTCGTATTTTACATGTCGTCCGCAGAGCTGAAGATGCAAGTGGGAAAAAATAGTCCTGAACATGTAACAAGAGTCTACAAGCCGATTCATATGATGATCCTAACTAAAGAAAAGTAAGCAGTACAGTACAGTAGGTACAGTAAGAATGAGAGTGACAGAGCGATAATCGATGACTTATAGAATGTGTATTAAAAGCGATTGTCGATGCCTGTAATATTTGTTTGTTGGTTGTTTAACGCCGCACTCAGCAGTATTCCGACTATATGACCGCGGTCTGTAAAAACGACAGAAGGACAGAGTGTCAGGCGATATCTGTGATAAAATAGGTAGAAAGCGATATGCGATACCTCTGTTAGAATAGGTAGCTGGTAAGATGGGTTGTTGTTTAACGCCGCACTCAGCAATATTCCAGATATATGACGGCGGTCTGTAAATAATCGAGTCTGGACCAGACAATCCAGTGATTCATATCATGAGCATCGATCCACGCAATTGGGATTTTGATATTTAGCGATAATTGCCATGATCTGCGAGGATGTAGAATCCGAGCCAATGACAATGTATTTCTTATCGATAGAATGATGATATATTTTGCTATATATATTCTAACTCAGTTCTGTTGCAATGAAAAAACTAGATCTACAATATACATATAGGGTAATTGTTATGTGCCTACAATTCAATCACGAATCAAAATCTGCGGCTAAAGAATACATCAGCATTATATTATTGCTCTGCTGCACTTGAAGGTATCTGTTCTGGTCACAGAAGAGCCATTCAGGCGATCCCGTGCTATACAAACTGGAATATGGAAACACAAAGAACAAGCCCCCTACCACGATCGTGAAAACTGACAGATATGTTTCACACATTAAGTACATCTATCCCAGAGGTAAGAATGAATGTAACATTTACAGCCACTCTTATGTTAAACAGGGTAGTATATATGTACATAATTACAACACGTCAAGACCACCTCCCTGGTCATACCAAAAGACGTTAAAAGATGGTACTTGTTGTTACCCTGTCTGGAGCTCGGCATTAAGTGGCTTAAACAAGGACTAGTCGGTACACTGTGTCTGTGTTGGGTATTCATGTTAAACTGCAGAATGGTATCTCATTGGGCTAGCACTATATATCGACATCAGTCCGGACTAGTTGGTTGGTTTGTTGTTTAACGCCGCACTCAGCAATATTCCAGCTATATGACGACGGTCTGTAAATAATCGAGTCTGGACCAGACAATCCAGTGATTAATATCATGAGATCGATCCACGCAATTGGGATCGATGACAAGCATCAACCAAGTCAGCGATTCCGATTCCGTTAGTCGCCTCTTACGACAAGCATATTCCGGACTAGCACACACACACACACACACACACACACACACACACACACACACACACACCTTTGGTCTGTATGGTAAGTGTAGGATGTAACGGCATTTTGCTTGACATCAACAATGACGTCTGTTGTACGTCATCCATGGCATTTGCACGTGGAACATTGATGTAAGACCCAGGTATCAAATAATGCACGTGCACGTGCGAACGTTTTAACCACTAGGCTACCCGTCTGCCCTGCACTTATATAGCGACGTGCATGCACGTGTGTGGATGTGTGTGTGCGTGTGGCTGCTTGGCTGAGAAAGGCTATATATGTTTGTCGTTTGTGAACTCTTCGCTTAAAGGGACTGCCTCCGTGGTCTAGTGGTAGAGCGTCCCCCCGGAGAACGGAAGGTCCGGGGTTCGGTCCCCGGCCGCGTCATACCAAAAGGCGTTAAAAGATGGTACTTGTTGTTACCCTGTCTGGCGCTCGGCATTAAGCAGCTAAAACAAGGACTGGTCGGCTCAGAGTCAGTATATTGTGTCTGAGTGGGGTACTGTTAAACTGCGGCTTTGTATCTCAGTGTAAATCACTATAAATCGGCATCAGTCCGGACTTATACAAGCAGCCACACAAACATACACACGTACATGCACGTCACTATATAAGTGCAATAATCTGGGACGCGACGTTAAACCCAATTTCGCCTCACCTCTTCGCTTAAAGAAGAGTATAATGACTGAGAAAGGCAATATATGTTTGTCGTTTGTGATCTCTTCACTTAAAGAAAAGTATAATCATATTGCACCTTTTGGTGCAAAGGACCGTTACCGTTGCAGAAATATATAATGGATATATGCTTGTCGTTTAACCGCGCACTCAGCAAAATTCTAAATCGATGACGGCGGTCTGTAAATTAAGTCTGAATCATACAGACAAATGATTGATATAATGACCAACGATCCACGCCGAAAGGGGGATTGGGGAATGTTTACGACAAGCATAGGGTGCGGAATCCCCATGGGGACTCCATGTTGTGTCAATTTAAGTTCGGTAAGTACATGCATTCATTCATCATTTTAGGCCACCATGCATATCTGTGCGATCCCTCGCCGAAACTGAAGATTTTGAAAAGAACGCAAGTCGTATGTTACTCATTGAAAGACTTCAAAGAGCCATGCGTTGATATTGAAAAATTCGAAGGCACAATGTACTTCTTGACTACGTCAAGGTAAATGAGTTAGAGGGAAAATACTTTCTTTGTTTGTTTGTTATTTAACGCCGCACTCAGCAATATTCCAGCTATATGAAGATGGTCTGTATATAATCGAGTCTGGACCAGACAATGATAGACATGAGCATTAGTCCCCGCAATTTGGACACGGTGACCGCGCCTCAACACACGATCCCGTTAGTCGCCTCCCACCACAAACATAGTCGCCTTTTACGGCATCATGGTATCAACATTAGTAGATAAAAGCTGTTCAGAATGCAGATTTGAGCACAATTGTACCACATGTACATGTCTACAAGAACGAAATCATGATTGGGTCCTGAAATAATGTGTTTCAGAGAATTTAGTTGTATGCCTCGATTAAGTGACGGTTACATTCCCACCCCATTTTATTGAAGGGTCGGTTTTTTAGTATTTAACACTAATATTTAGAGCTAGCGTGAAGACTATTGGTTTGTTTCACCTATCAAGAAATCGACATTTAGCTAATCTTATTTGTAATACCTGTTTTTCGCATAGGAAATTAATTGGTGAGCGGTATAGGAATAAATACGTTTACCATGGGGTGCATGGCTCAGGAAGGATCACACGTGGAGGGTTACAGGTAAGTGTTGTTTTGGACATACTGTCATATTCTTTTCGATGGGCACCACTTATGGTGGTGGGCAAAGGTTCGAATCGTAGATCTTGGTTTTATTAGGACAAATGATTTTTTGTTTGTTTGTTTATTGCTTAACGCCCCACTCAGCAGTATTCAAGCTAAATGACCGCGGTCTGTAAAAAATCTAGTCTGGATCAGACAATCCAGTGATTGATAACATGAGCAACGATACACGTAATGGGATACGATGACATGCATCAACCCGATTTCGTTAGTCGCCTCTTACAACATGCATAGTCGCCTTTTAGGGCGAGCATATGTTGCTGAAGACCTATTCAATCTCGGACCTTCAGCAACCCATGCTTGCCGTAAAAGGCGACTATGCTTGTCGTAAAAGGCGACTAACGGGATCGGGTGGTCAGGCTCGCTGACTTGGTTGATGCATGTCATCGATCCCAATTGCGTGGATCGATGGTCATGATGTCAATCACGGGATTGACTGGTCAAGACTCGATTATTTACAGACCGTCGTAATATAGCTGTAATATTGCTGAGTACGGTGTAAAACAACAAACAAAACAAAGATCATGCCACAACATGAACAGAAAATAGTCTTCAAAGTGGCGTTTTAATCATATGTTTACCATTGTTTCATGTGCATTCCTTATTGCAGTATATGTTCATTACCTGTTATTGAGTAATGTGTATTGGTTTTCGTACTATAAGGAATTAGGGAGGTTTGGATGATGCACACTAATGCCCAATCCATATAAATACATTATCGGGAAATGGTAGTTGCCCCAAATACACTCAGGACAGCCATCCTCTTGGAGCGAAGGGGTAGTTAAAGCGTTCGCTTTTCACGCCGAATACCCGGGTTCGATTCCCGACATGGGTACAATATATGAAGCCCCTTTCTGGAGTCCCCACCGTGATATTGCTGGAATATTGCTACGACCTATAAGCGGTGTAAAACCATACTCACCCATTTATTGGGTTCACGCATTTTATCCATACTGTGAATTGGCTCTTTTGGAATTCCAGGTTAGAAGGGGGCACGGGTGGCCCAGTCGTCAAAGGCGCCGCGATTTGCTGTGCAGAGTTGCGTCCCTTAGGCACGCCAGAAACCTATGATTGTGGGTTCGAATCCCGGCTCGACCCGATTATGTTTCTAGGTTTGTCAGCACCATACCCGTGCTCGCGGCGTTAAACCCAACTCACTAACTCACTCACTCCAGGTTAGAATACATATTGGGTCCAAGCAACCCGTATCAGTTAATGACATATAACTGATACGGGTTGCTTGGCCCCTACATGTATTCTTACCTGGAGTGAGTTAGTGAGTTGGTTTTATCATGACTTAATGGACCCCTGAAGATTTCGGGGTAGAATAGGTCTTCAGCAACCCATGCTTGCCGTAAAAGGTGACTATGCTTGTCGTAAAAGGCGAATAACGAGATCGGGTGGTCAGGCTCGCTGACTTGGTTGCTGCATGTCATCGAGGCCAATTGCGTGGATCGATGCTCATGATATCAATCACTGGGTTGTCTGGTCCAGATTCGATTATTTACAGACCGCCGTCATACAGCTGGAATATTGCAGAGTGCGGCGTTTAACAACAAACCAACCAACCAACCATGACTTAATGGTTCGGGTTATCAGACTTGGTGACATAGCCGAGCTGCCGTCAGTTTCCCTGTTCTAGATGAACTGCTTCTTAACTAACTTGCATGTTGGTTTGCAGGCGGTGCCGTACAAAAGAACCCGCGTTTCTTCAAGAGGTTAATGAAATATGTCTGTGTTCTTATCATGAAGTACAGAGGATTGCCTCAAATAAACTGATTGAATTCGTTCTGTGTATCAGTGTGTTTTATCGTTACCTTTCACATGCATGACGGATTCTGATTAGCTGGGGCCCTTTCTATAATTCTCAATATACCCCGCTCACATGTATGGTACATTCGTATGATCCTCGCTCAAATTACGAAACTATTGGCAATAAATAACATCAACAATAACTTCCGAATGAAACAGATCATGTGGAATAACTCATTGAGTGTTTTCCGTCACAGAGTAGTGGTTACATGCCTAACTGTTGTATTCTTAGTGGTTACATGCCTAACTGTTGTATTCTTAGTGGTTACATGCCTAACTGTTGTATTCTTAGTGGTTACATGCCTAACTGTTGTATTCTTAGTGGTTACATGCCTTACTGTTGTATTCTTAGTGGTTACATGCCTAACTGTTTTTTTCTTAGGGATTCGGACTGGTGAACATAAACTAACATAGAGGGTATATCAAACCATAACATAAACTAACATAGAGGGTATATCAACCCATAACATAAACTAACATAGAGGGTATATCAACCCATAACATAAACTAACATAGAGGGTATATCAACCCATAACATAAACTAACATAGATGGTACGTCAGCCCATAACAGAAACTAACATAGAGGGTACGTCAGCCAATAACAGAAACTAAAATAGAGGATACGTCAGCCCATAACATAAACTAACATAGAGAGTACGTCAACCCATAACATAAACTAACATAGAGGGTACGTCAGCCCATAACATAAACTAACATAGAGGGTACATCAACCCATAACATAAACTAACAAAGAGGGTACATCAACCAATAACATAAACCAACAAAGAGGGTACATCAACCAATAACATAAACCAACAAAGAGGGTACATCAACCAATAACATAAACCAACAAAGAGGGTACATCAACCAATAACATAAACTAACATAGAGGGTACATCGACCCTTAACATAAACTAACATGGAGGGTATATCAACCCATAACATAAGCTAACAATGATGGCACATCGACCCACAACATAAACTAACATGGAGGGTACATCAACTCATAAGATAAACTAACAAAGAGCGTACATCAACCAATAACATAAACCAACAAAGAGGGTACATCAACCAATAACATAAACTAACATAGAGGGTACATCGACCCTTAACATAAACTAACATGGAGGGTATATCAACCCATAACATAAGCTAACAATGATGGCACATCGACCCACAACATAAACTAACATGGAGGGTATATCAACCCATCACATAAACTAACATAGAGGGTACATCGACCCTTAACATAAACTAACATGGAGGGTATATCAACCCATAACATAAGCTAACAATGATGGCACATCGACCCACAACATAAACTAACATGGAGGGTATATCAACCCATCACATAAACTAACATAGAGGGTACATCAACCAATCACATAAACTAACATAGAGGGTACATTAACCAATCACATAAACTAACATAGAGGGTACATTAACCAATCACATAAACTAACATAGAGGGTACATAAACCAATCACATAACACGGGTCACTTGAGCACAGCTGATTTGACGACCGCATCACCTCGTAGGGTAATGTTTACAGAACAGTTGTCGGTAGGCATGTTTATCAACCATTGTCGGTAGGCATGTTTTTTAACCATTGCCAGTAGGCATGTTTATCAACCATTGTCGGTAAGCATGTTTATTAACTATTGTCGGTAGGCATGTTTATTAGTTTAGGTTTGGTTGGTTGTTTAACGCCGCACTCAGCAATATTCCAGCTATATGACGGCGTTATGTAAATAATCGAGTCTGGACCAGACAATACAGTGATTAATATCATGAGCATCAACCCACGCAATTGGGATTGATGACGTGCATCAACCAAGTCAGCGAGCCTGACCACCCGACCCCGTTAGTCGCCTTTTACGACAAGCATAGTCGCCTTTTACGGCAAGCAATGGTTGGTGAAGACCTATTCTCCCCCGGATCTCAACCACCTTAGCGAGCCTGATTATTTACAGACCGCCGTCATACAGCTGGGGTATTGCTGCGTGCGGCGTAAAACAACAGACCAACCAACCAACCCGAACGTAAAACTTATGAACTGTGCTTGCCTCTGTTGGTATCCACTTGTTACCTTTATCAAACTTGCTGCTGGATTTGATTTTAAATAAATCCAGCGAAGACATTGAATGTACGCTTAATGTGTATATTACATGTAAAGGTTTGATCTTGAACAATTATTGCGTATTCACGTGAAGAAGACACTTTACTCGTAGCCGTCATGAATGTATACACTGCCATGCGTGACACAGTCTACCAATGGTCGTCTTGAATATATACTTCAAACCAACATGCATAACACATTTTAATCGTAATCGTCATGAATGTATACACTGCCGTGCGTTACAAAGTCTACCTATGGGCATCATGAATATATTCACACAGTTCAAGTTATTGGGCATATATTTTGATGTTGATTTGGAAAATATGCTCAGTTTAAACTATACAAACAAGTTTGATAAGATAGAAAAGGAA